ATATAGTTTTAACGCTATCCGAAAACCGTATCTGTACGACTGACAGGTACCAACTCACGAGCGATTTAAGCTCCGAGAATTTTTGTAATGAATTTGTAGGTCAATTCCTTATATTCTACCATTACTATATTGTTTTATTATTATCAGCCAAGGCGAACGCAACATAAATTTTCCCCTGCCTTTCGGCAATACGTGCGTTTGGCCTCGCTTCTTTGTTGTTCCAATTGGAACGTTTTTCATATAATAGGCTGAGTTACACGTAAAAGAAGCAGCAACAAAATAAAACCAAATATTAAAATATTACGCAAGGCAGTTTTTTCCTACCAACGCGAGAAAGTAACGTACTATACTAAGCGGGAAAAGAACGTAATATTTCAATATTAAACGTAATATTTGCAGTAAGCATCACGCATGAGAATAAGTATGGTGCTGTTTTCAACACGCTAGGTTTTATTCATTCGAGTATTTCGCGAATGCCGTGCGCCAAATATTCACGCGGTGTGTGTGAAACATCATTCGCAATCAAAATCGGTGTTTTAAAGAATGTCCCATAATTAATACGTACACATGATTCGTGGCACTTGTACGGGTAATAATAGATTGTTAAATTCACCGAATTTTATGTATTTTAAAAAAAAAAAAAAAAAAAAAAAAAAAAAAAAAAAAAAAAAGAAACCCCGCCCCGATTTTTTAATTTTTTTTTTTATTTTGGGGGTGGGGGGGGGGGGGGGGGGGGGGGGGGAAAAAAGAATATTTTTTTTTTATTTTAAGAAAATGGGGAAAGGGGGGAGGGTGACAGCGCAACATAGTGGCCCTATCCACATATTTAGGAAATAGCGTTCTCTGTGTAAATCACATCTAATCTCCTAACATTCAACGTGTAAAGTATTCACATGTTCGCGTCGATAGTTTTCAAGTTTATACATTACAAAAATAAAGCTATTGCAACTCCCAGCTTACGATTCACATTTCTTGTGCGCAATAGTGGCACTAAAGCAAAGGCGATGGCTTCGTTTATTAACACAAGAAGATAATCCACCACAATGTTCATACTCTCTCACTACATCACACTCACTATGAAAACACAAATGAGTGCTTAATTTTGCCAATAACTTCATCAGGACCATTTCTCCAAACACAGGACTCGGGGATAGGCCACTATTGCGCTGACACCCTCATATAAGACTGAACGTGTGATATGAATATTGGGGAACAATTTTTAAAAGGAAAATTTATTACGTTTAAATCGAGATTTTTGTAGGATATTTCTCATCTCACATGGCATAAAATATGTCTTTAGGTAGCACGTTAAAATAGCGCTTTGTATTGTTATGTCAAAATATATTAGATTAACAAAACGGGTGTATTTGTTTAATTTTCATGACATCGAATAGTACACAAGATATTGGGCACCCTTACTCAGTGCCCGATTTAGAAAATTGTGGCTTCCCAACCGACCCCAATTATTGATTAATTTAAAAGAAATATTCCATAGTCGAAGTCGAGTTAGTTACGCTCTTTATAGCTCAAAAATGGCTGGACCAATTTTAATAATCTCTGATTTTTTGGATTCACCTCCGCCCCGAATAGCAGAACAAGGATTAAAATATCGGGAAAACCCACAAAAATAAAGAACAAAGATCAAAATTAAATACTTATGTCAGATGCAACCCGCAGAACACAAGGTTATATCTCTATCTCGTGAAATAACTCCTAAACGAAATCTTCTATCGCATTGAAAATAACATTTTCTTGAGAATTCTATTACGTGTTTACCAATTCGATGCTTTTTGATATATCCCCGCCGGCTCAGAGATGTTCACGATCTACAACTAAAAGTGTATGAGTAAGGTTATTACAGTTAGGCTGCAGCGTCATACCGTGTTAATATACACAGTTTGTGAAAATTGCAATTCCCGGAAGGAATTGTCAGAACCACTTAAAATAGGTGGATATGTAGAACAGTGTATCCATAAAAAGTTGTTAAACTTGCGTAGAGATGGCGTGCACGTTGCCCTAGCAACGCCCTCCTTTGTGTGACAGATCGGATCAGTGTTTACCTTACCCAGTCGGTGTAGAGCCGTCAAACGACGTGGAGATATGAGAGCAAGTGCAGGTAGTCACGTGGATCCCAAAGGCAGTGATATCAATATCCGAGTGAGTTCGAACGGAGCTTAATGATTCGGGAAGCGGGTTAGTCAAACCATGACGTTGCGGCTCGAAGGCGGTGCACTGCTACAACGGTATGCACATACGGACCCAGAAGAGTAGGGAGGGAGAGGAGGGTCTTACACAGCAAAGAGTGGGTATTCGACTACACTATGTGACCACATCGTGAGATTACCACCACCCTGTCCACGTGGCCGTAACTCCCTCTTCGGCGTCGTCCAAACTCTTGGCTCAACATTGGAGCTCTGTAACGGATGTGCTCATGTCTTCGTCGATGGTTCGACGCCGTCTGATTAGAGCTGTACTGATGGTAGTCATATGATTGCGTCGGATTCCGTTGACCAGACACCAGCAACACGTCAGACATCAATAGGCACGCGAACGTCTGCACTGGTGCGCTGAGAGGCAAAATTTAGTGCTTTCTGACGAGCCCCGCTTCTTTCTTACGTCCATGGCCGCGTACCTGTACAGTGCTACCATGGTGATCACAATCTGCCATGCTGCATTGTGCCTCGCCATAGCAGACAAACGCCAAGTGTGATGGTTTGGAGTGCCAAAGGCTACAATGAACGATCTCTCCTCACACGACACTGAATTGCAACCGCTACATTTTTCTCATCAGGGAGCTTTTAGAACCAGAGGTACTTGCCCCTCCTGCAAGCAGATCCACATGCCGTAAGACAATGACCGACCGTACCTTGCGAGAAATGCACAAGATTTCCACAAAGAACGACGAATACCACTGCTTCCCTGGCCTGCTCGTTTGCCTAGCATGGTTCGTTCTGGTCCTCTTGAATCCACTGTCGATTTTTTTGTGTTTTCGCATAGAAACCGCGTGGCTGTGTGTTCCCCAGTCGCATATCCAAGCTCTCATTAAATCACTGGCGCGCCGTTTAGAGGCTCTGATGGCAGCGCATGGTGGCTTTACACCGAATTAAATACTTAAGATCAAAATGCAGGTACAGTTCATTATTATAATCATTTTTATGTTGTGATATTCCTAATATATGGAATAAATTTCATTAGAATAGTGTGTCTCTTTCTTGATGTTGCAATGTTTACCAACATCAGTGTATAATAAATTTAATTGAAATTACTCGAAATAGGTTTTCTCTCGTAAAATGCGTTAAATTTGTTAACGTATGCTAATATTAAATTGTAATAAAAATACTGCGATAGATATTTGACTGTTACAATGTTCATTAGATTTAATAAATTTGTATATTGAACTTAAGTAAAGTTGGGAAGAATATATAAGCTAATTGGCATGAGGTAATGATTTCGCAATTACTCTGCTTGCAGAATGTGTTAAAGAAAATGATCTACTTTACTTCTCCTCTGAAGAAACGGCTATAATTATTGTGTTTTCAAGGGGAAAAAATACCTCTTCGTTTTAGAATTCTGTTGAAGTCCTACCTTAAAACGTAGTTCGCCGACAGGGGGCTTGGCGTAAGGGACACCGTTCCAGCTTAAGTACGTTGACCCAGTAACAGCCTCCTTTTGCTGACCTCGAATTTCGCCTTGTGCAGTGCGCACGATCGGATTCTGCGCGCATGCCCCGCTGATCTGGCACCCTGGGGAGCACACACAACGAAAATGGTTGTTTAGAACCCGCTATTAGTAAGACATCCTATGGGTATAGTTACGGAATCAAAGAAGAAATATGCTGTATTCGACTTCATGCTTAAACGTGAAAACGGTCGTTTAGTTTGTATTGCTTGATTATGTAGTGTTTCCGGGCGCGCCATTTGTAAATGCGTCACTTTAGAAATAAATTCTCAATTGTAATTGTATTTATATTTCTAGAATAAAATGTCGTTTTGTTATAATAGTTCTAAACACTGAGATTATAAACTGTAAATGTGCGTAGAAAAGAATATTTATAACACTTTCCGCGTCCCGAGATTGTACAGTGAAATTGACCAACTGAAGCAAACTAATTTTTATTTATTACTAGTGGACACGGAAATGCCTGGCTATTGTAGTACATTACACATCACACACTACTGGTCACGTGATAATTAATCACTTTTTACGCTACGCTGTGCGAACATTCGAATAGATAAAAGTTTTTCTCGCCCTTTTGCCCAGGTTTCAACATGGCTATCGAATATCCTATTGTTAAAACGTCCTCCCTCAAATTTGGCACGCGTTCGGTTTAACACTCTTGGAGAAATTTGATTTACTTCTCGGAGATCCAGGAAATAATTCCGGTCGGGTCGATGTTTCACAATCACAGGGGCTGATATTTTTTTGTAGTGAAGACGCACGTACTCCTTGACTGTGCGGCGGGTTGCGTAAAGTTCAGAGGCGTTTGAGACATTATAAATGAATAATTCATAATCACCTACGCCCACACATGTTGTATTTCATTGAGGACACTCTTTAATAACTCCAATTACTAAAAAAAAACAAAGTGTGAAAAGGTTTTTCAACTAAGTGCAAGACACATATTGACATTCCCTTATATATTATGTTTGTCAAAAAGGATTTCCTGGCGATAACGTTTCCTTAATTAATGAAACTAACACAAGTGACTAGGTAGTCATAAAATATGTGGCTATTAGTACGAAATTTGGCTCAACGATAAGGTCGCGGTGTAGAAATGACTTTCGTATTTTAAGTGAGAGGAGAGGGTCGGAGGAAAACGGCGCCTTGCACACGTCCGCGCAATCACACGTTGCGAAACTCGATATCTGAGGAAGCAGAGGGATAAAATATCCCTGGCCGCTGCACATGACTACGAACTAACACCACGGGACATGACACAATTTGTTGGGTATTTGAGCATTAATATTTAATTCTGAATTGGTTTGGTATGAAATGTGTCATATAGTAATACAGTCATATAGTAAAACACTCAAATGTACTCGTAAAGCATTGCATAAGGGTTTTGCATTCTTGTATCGTCTGTACCATACGCTCTATATACAAATGATGTTTCAACTGTAACAACTAACGTTAAGCATTGGTACTGCCTTACTCTTCGCTGCTTTCCGGTGCTATGATGTTGACCTTAGACCAATTGATACTAAATTGATGCTGTGTCTAGTACAATATGCCGCTGCGTGAGCGTGTAAAATTTTGCGTTAATGAAGAATAGGGTACGAAAGCAATGGTCCAAAAAATGAATGCAATAGTTGTATTTTACTTTTATATTTATTTTATCGTTTATAAATTTCTTTTGGGATTTTTCAGTCACATTACAATGTGCCGCTATAAAACAAAAAAGGAAAACGCACTGTTGTCCCCAGAGGAAGCTATGCTAAAAACTCTTTACGAAGCAAGTTAATGGATACTGCTTATAAAAATTACATTGGGCAGAGATAATATGCATCTGTGATGATTAATGACGGCTTAAGTTTTCGCTTAACCACTTTATTTGGGTGAACATTTTTAAACTCCAGCGATCTGAAATCCTAACGTCGGAAGACGTACTACACGTTTTTGTATACCAGCAATATGAACGACATTTTCTGTTGCAAGAAATTGTTCATAATCGGGCATTTTACGGCACAAATGACGCATTGGCGTTTTACGGCACAAATGAATTCATCATCACACGTTCAGCCAGTCGCAGCGAGAGAATCTCGGGGAGGTAAAGGAAAAAGTAACAGCTGACCACCGTTTTCTCGCACAATGGCAAATATTCAAGACGTTACAAGAAAGATGATCCGCAAAATTAAGTTTGATTATCCTTTAAATTTATAATTCTGTTATATAAAACAGCGTATGAACTCTTGAATAATGCTGCTTTATTGCATTCATACATATTTGACAACTAGCTCATAACGTCGCTCGTTTTCAAAGGGTGTACTCATGCAATAAAGCTTAACATTATAAACTAATTGCATAAATTACTATTATAGTGCATAAGTAAAACAATAACATGTTTTGAAACCTCCTGTTTTTTATTTCCCTAAAGTCAGATCTGAAAATAGATAATGGGTCTCGTGGATATGTGAATAAAACTATATTATATGAATGATGGGACAACAGTTGCATGAGCTGCAATGAAAAGGGAGAACCCCAAGAAAGCCTGTCGCGAGCACATTGTCTCCACCAACTAATCACACAAACAGCGAAGGGAATTGGAACATGAATTCCAGCAGCACTTGATGATCGCAGCAAGATAGTTGTAGTAAAGCAGTAGAGCAACTTATTACCACCTTGGCCAATGGGCTACGTTTAAGCCCCAGAACTCATTTCATTGACAGTGAAAATCCTAAAGCACATTAATAGAAAGAAACGTATTACTCACGTGTAAGTTGTCTCCAAAATGTTATGCGACTATCCAAAACATGACTTTTGATCGTGAACTCTTTGTCCACGTAGAGGTAGTTTTCCTCTTCTAGCGTATATTTCTTCCACGAAAGGCGATCTCCCATCGCAGTTGGCGTTGGGTTCCTGGGGGAAAATGATAGCATGTGGCGTCACCAAATCTTCTCAAGAATATCCAATTTTCTGTAATATCTGATACTCAAATACAATTTTATTTAAACTTTTTAAATTAAAAAATATATTCTGTTACTTTGATTAGAACTTATAAAGTAATTGCTGGCGTGTTAGTGTAATGTTATAATACTTCAACGTAACCATTAAGAAAAGAAAATATATGCTGATGTAACACCACTAGTTACTTTTTCGTATATGAACATATATTCGGAGTAATATACATAGTATAAAAAAAAATTAAATGCTGCGGAAAACCAATTTTGAGATTTTTACGAAAACACGCCGTTTTTGTATCCCCTGATACCAAGAAAATGTTTTTCTTCAAAATGTTCATCCGTCTGTGAACAACAGTAGCTTCTAACTATTGTAACTATTATATTATAACTAACTATTCTCGAAGGTATTTTTCTGTAATGAATATTTCCCAATCAATTTGACTCGTCTCGAGGTCTTCCCCTCTGAGGATTCAAGCGAATTCTTAAAATATTTATACATCACATGAAGTCCCTGGAATATCTTCAAAATTACTTCAAAGTAGCTTGAATTGTTTTCTTATAGAACCTAATTGTCTTTCAGAGAACTGTTCATTACTGAATGCGATGTTGGCTGATTTGATCACTGATAAGTGACGTATTGTTGCTTCGAAAATTAATGGTGTCAAAGGAAATAATATTTATATATTTAATTCTCCAAAGAACCCCAAAGGCTGCGAATGCATTAATCAGTTGTAGTTAGTTTTATTAAGTTATTATATTACATTACAGTAACACGTTTGTTGTCTGATTCGGCCCTATGAGACAGTCGTGGCAGATGAGTCCATGTAGTTCGTGAACAAGAGGCTGTGGTTTCGACTCCCGTGAAAGTCATTAATGCTTATTGCCAGTTCTGGTGTTTCACATTTACACCCTAATGCTTCCATAATCTCTCTTCGCCTACACTGCAACTTGATGTGTAAATGAGATGAAGGACACAGAACAATGCAACATGCACCGAGATGGGGACAACGAATACCATGGGCAAATACTTATAAGTTAAGGACCGAGATAGGCCTATGCGATGTTAGAGAATTGCGAAGGGGTCCCCAGAGGAGCGGTTGGTATCACGAGAGGCCCTGGCGTAGGTCTTCTACACTCCCAACTGATGGTGACACTGTTGGGAGGGGATTGGAAAATCTAGCTGTCTCTTTAGAGAATAGGAGAAAGCTAAGCAGAACGAGAAAGTCTGTGTCATTCTGTAGACCACTAGCTTTTTTTAAAATTTATTTGTCATTTATTTTGCACCGATAAATTAAATATCCACCAGTTAATAGAATGTTTGCTATAAGGAAGATATGTTTCATGAATGTGCTGTAGCTCTTTTATATCTGGATGTTTCACAAGATGTCCACAAATATTGAAGTGTTTGAATAATAAATTCCATTCCCCTTACTATCAATTTTAAGCATGTCCCAAAATTATTTTTTAATTACATTTTACATTTACTTATATAACGCTTTACAAGAGTGAGTAGAGATTGTAGTCAAGCAAGGTTAGTATGAACGTTTCAAAATTGCGAGAAAAACTGTGATGCATGTATTTCAGAAGTTGGTAAAGAGGCATGTCGTTTGTTTTCGCATAGAAAAAACCAGGATAAGTGTGTCTTACGGTAATATGTCAATACGTATTACCGTTGGCCAACGAGCTAGAATATACTCCATAGAGTGGCTGAAGCGTCTCCATCTTTGAAGCACTTTGAAGCAACTTGCTTTTTGCAGTCAAAGCAGAGCCCTCATGGAAAGAAAGTATTCTAGCATTACGTTTCCCGCTGGTTACAGACAGTTACACCTATATAATATAATAATAAATATATAATAATAAATTCAATAAATAATAAACAAATTAATTAATTAATTAATTAAAAAAAACATTTGTTCGTCGTCAATATTAATTGAGAATCAAGATTTGTAAGTAAGGATAGAAGAAAATGGTCTGTGGAAATGAATGCATTACACTGCTTGTTCACAAATGCTTCTGAACGAATAGTTCGCTATTACACTGCCATCTGTGAGCGGGAGAAAGAAACTTCGAGCATCCAGTAGATGGCGCGTATGGATCTTATTTTGGATGACGTGTGGGAAATCTAACGTGATTTCTGAAGAAACAGAATAAAAAGGGAAGAAAAGTGGGGTTTTGAAGACCGTTATTTAATTTCTGCAGATTAGAATTGATTATACTGCTCAATATAACGTTTCAAAATAGTATTGTGTATTAAGAAGAAACATACGTTTTACTATTCCAGAGTTATACGCTACACAATTCTCATTAAAATGGATGCGTTTATGTACGTAGTTGAGTGTTCCGGCACTGGATGTTGGAAGACAGGCATGTCGTAGATCTCTAGTGGAAGTCTCTCCCTCTTAATTCTTGGCAACGCGTCAAGCATTAATAGCTTCAACAATGGACCTAAGATCTCGCATAATTCGCCATCCGGTTTCTCTTTCTGTCATTAAAATGGTACAAAATGCTGATTGTTTATCTCCCTTTACCTTGGAAATGTTCGAGAATGATGATGTATCGCCAAAGCCGATTTGGACACAATTATCATTCATAAGTAGTCTAAAGAGAAACTAATCTATTTTAGAAGGTAACATTTCTATGGATTTTACATTGAGGAATACCGATTATATTCGCGAAATTATTTTACTTGCGATCATTTGTACGTACATGTAGAGGATTTTAAGTTTGTTGCTGACTGCCAGGCGAACGCGCAGGGGCACCGAAGTGGGGCTTGTCCACCCGTTCAGGATATCGCGTTGAAGGGTTACAAACTGAATTTAAAAATATTGAAAATTGTATTTCGACTTATTGTTTTATAAAATACTGTATTAGTCCCGACAGCGAAGTTAATGTTGTTATTATCCGGAGGACGACGCTTTCATTTCTTCAGTCAAACGATCCGACGTCAATCCACTCGGTCCCCCGCTTCCAGGTACATCCGCCAGTGGGACACTATCCCAGTCGAGACAAGCTCTAAGCTCAACATGTGTAGTACTATAGTGCATGTGCGAGAGTAAGGAGAGAAAAAGAGAAAAGAATGGCCTAGGGTTCGAGTCCCAATGATAACGGATTTTCGACACTAATTGGGTAGCTACGAAATCGAAGATCGATTCCGCCCCCTCTGGAGCAAACTTCTAGGGGCAGGCTTCTCTGGTAGATGTTCCATTGCTTCTTCAATGAATACCAAGAGCCTGAGCAGTCTCTTAATTAACGAAGCAGGGACGGGCGCAATCCTTCCTTTGTCATCATTGTCCCCTCCTTCCCCCTTACGCGCAGACACATACGTGCACTACAATACTGGTCCGAGTTGTTGCATTTGCAACAGTTATTGATTTGAGCCAACTCAGCCGTTGGGAAATTGGAGAGACGGGTATTTATGGAGCCTTGATTCTTACCCAATCTTTGCAAAATTTGTGAAGTAGCGTTCCCGGACAGGTCAACGGGCTAGGCATGCCCGTGATATTTCCTTCCTCATCCTTGACCCCTCCTCCTCCTTACACACACACACATACACATATATTATATATATATATATATATATATATATATATTACAACTAACACTACTGGTCATAGTTTTTGCCATGTTGTTTTCCCTGGCCCCAATCAATCCGGCGGGAAATTGGGGTACACGTAATTCCGGATGTGCTGATACTGCACCGACTCACCCCGGTCTTCCGGTCTTCGCGAAAATTGGTGGAAGACGTGACACAGCGGTTTCCGCACAGCTTGTTCCTCGGGCGTCGCGTCGAGCGGCGGGCCGCTCGGGTCGGCGGCGCGCTCGAAGAGGTAGAAGAGGTCGTCGCCGTGCGCCACCCCGGGCACTTGCGAAGCGTTGTACACGTCGTCCTTGAAGAAGGACGCCCCGCCCTCGAAGGCGAACTCGAACAGGAAGACGTCGGCGTCGCTCTGCGCCATGAGGCGCGCCGCGCTCACGGTGCTCACGGTCACGAACAGGTCGCTGCACATCTGCGGAAGCGGTTGGAGTCATTGTTTCGCAGTCGTTAATTTCGTAAGTGCAGTGCATACTCATGTCACGTGAGGTGACGGTGTTCCGACTCCGCTGGCATGGGAGATCCGGATCAGACCTACATGTCGGCTTAGTGGGATTTCCCCGTCCAGAGATCTTCCACCAGCGTGGCACCGCGCCATTCGGCACAGACTCCAAGCTCCCAACATATGTGCTAGTGTAGTGCATGCACAAGTCCAAGTGTGTAGGGTTGAGGAAAACACACGGGAGAGGAAGGGTGGATCCCACACTATCCGTGGCTTTGGTGGTACTGCTCCGGCACTCGATCGCAAAGAGCCACGGGAATCTACTGGCGAGAGCGGCCTGCCACGAGAATTCTCCTCCAAGCTGGCTGAATTTGACCTTGCTCGCTAGCGAGTGACGAAAATCCTGCCGCCGTCGTGAATGGAGCCAGCCGCCAAGGGGCATTGCAGTGACGTCATGTAGATGCTCTGAGCCACCCCAACCGATGTAAAGGGCGAGAAGCACAGGTGGTATTGGAGGAACTGCTGGTCATCGTCATTAGCGATCTCCGACTGGAAGAATCCTCTATTCGCTTCAGTGGGAAGGCACACTTCTTTCACTTGTTCAAGTGCTTATGCTGCGTAGTTGGCAATATTCTGGTAGTGCTCAAACCATACATCTGATTTTTTCTAAATTGTATTTTCAATTACTGGTGGTTCGAGATTTTGCAAAGAATCTTTCATTTTCCTGTACTGAAGCCTGTACTGTATTACATTCTAAGTTGTGAAGATTTTTAACGTCTCCAAATAATTTCATTTAATTTTTGCGAGAATAAATTGCTTAAATACGCTTACAAATACGACATAGATTCGATGTTCATTAAAACTTCTTAGTTTATGATCAATACAATTTTGAAATTGGGCCTGAACTGCAGGAAGTTCAGAGAATCTAGTTTCAGAGATAAAATCAAAAGCAGTGCTTTTTTTCGGAAAAAGCCCAATGTTGGTTGCTTACCAGTATCAACTCATCATTTGTTTATACATGTATCAGAAAGATAATTGTGAACATAATGAATGGAAAATAATTACGACATTGAAATGTATGACGTTTATATCGTATAAAAAACAATTTTAAGGTTCATTAGGTAATTCCTTCAGTTGCTTTGCAATTCCGCTATTATAATACTCAAAAAGTGCGTGTGGACTACAATGAAAAGATCACATTATGTTATAGAGTGAAATCAAAGTTCTAGTAATGCGATATGTAATTTTATATACATTTGTTTATGTCTTGTATTTATTGTTATGAGTAAAAGTAGTATATATTTTGTAGTAATAGTCAATGCTGATGATTAGGCAGTGTGACTAAATAGAGAACATTTTCATATTTTTTTGAGCTGTACAGAACAAAAACGTACCGTCACCGGAAACAGGTCATGTCCTATAATATTCCGATGTTTCTAATAGTCCTGTGAAACTCGTGTTTTATATTGACTGATAATTGAGGACTTTTCTTTTAATGAGCGTTGATGCCAAGTTTTAATCAGTTTGTTTTTACATTCTTTCATTTCAAGCAAATTCAAATTGTAGTAAATGCTAACCACGAGATAAATCAAAATTGAAAAGGAATGACCATATAACACCCTTCAAGTGGTTTAGAAGTGGAAATTAGTATTTACGTAAGAAAATTGGTGGCGTCTAAAATATTATTTTAAAGTATTGAACGTGTTATTTATGGTCAATATTATGCAAATTCAGTATTTTTACAATTAGAGATAAATATTCGGTAAAAAATGATGACGATTGATCAGCACACTCAGAAATGGCTTAGTACGTGCAGCAAGATTTTCAAAATGTTGGAAATTAAATGTTGTCTGTTTGACATAGTATCCTTGTATATTACGAGATACATTTTATGGGAATAAAGATCCTAGGCTGAAGAAAATTTAAACTTGGATATTGAAATAATGAAACGTATTGCAACGTTAATCATACATAACAAATCGGTTTGAATCAATCATATTCGGCTTTGACAATCGACACGTCGTTGAGAGACAATCACAATTTTTAAGGAAAATTGTAGTTTTTTTTGTTACAACTAAGTGAATTCTGAGATGATTGCTCATTGTTAACTCATTATTATTATTATTATTATTATTATTACTTCCAAAGCTTTTTGCATTCATTAAGTTGTCGCGTTGCAATGTGAAACAATTTTAAAAGTTTTATATCATATTGACAATCTTGTGCCCTTTATCACTTGTACGAGTGATTAGATGTATGTAAATTACTTGGAACACACGAAGGAGCTAAACACATTACATTAACGTAGAGAATATTAACAAAATGAAATTACTGCAGGGTTTGCAATTCGAAATAATTTTAGACTTTATATAAGAAGACATTTTTTCGTTCTATTTGTTACATTTGAAAACAGTTTTCAATCATGTATTTTTGTGCATTAAAGGACTTCAAAGCGCTTTATAAGCATTAAGCCAAATAGCCATTAAGCAAAGTAGTTGCAAGTAAAAATAAATTATTATTGTGATGTACTGAAACGATAATATTCCTAACTTCTACATTATTCATTATATGAACGTATTCAATGAATCTTTGATCCTGTAAATAGATGTTCCAAATTTTAATCAAATTACAAGAACATGTTGATTGGCATTACCGGCATAAAATGTTTGTTTTAACGCTTGAATGAATATTTTAACAGAATTAATAAATGGAGAATTTATTGTAAAGTAACAATAAACTATCACAAACATTTTTTTTGCCGCCGACGAACATCCTTCTCTTTTCTCAATATTATAGATTCTCTTGATCGTGTCATGGAAAATTTATTAAATAACAACAACTGAGCATTGTAGTAAATTACAAATTTAATCTCTAGTAATGAAATTTCTGGAGGTAATATGCAAAATCAGTCTTCTACTTTTGCTTCACAAAACGCTAATGACTAATACATACATTATAGTAATTGCATGATAAAAATCTTATAAAGTGGGCAGTTAAAAAGCTAGCTAGATAACATCAAGTTAGCTGGTAACAACAGCTAGGGCAGGTAAAAACAGCTAGTTAGATAATAACAGGGGAGAGACAATGTGAAGGTAGCTAAATATGCTACAATAAAATGAGAATGATATTAGGAATCTAGATTATTGAATTCCACTGAAATCACGTCCAAATTGCTCGTAATGAATAAAGAATTAATTTAATTAATACAATAATTAGCATAAGAGGATTATTATGACATTTTCATTTCAAAAATATATGAAAAATATTCTTACTCTTGAAAAAAAAAAACAGGTGCGATCGCGTGGCGGTGTTTATGCCGCCTAGGTCAAAGTGCTGATGTTGGTAACATTTGCGCGAATTTGGCGCAAATGTGGGGGGATCTTGGAGAAGTCGTTACCGCTTTATTGGGTCTTAATAGATAACTAGAGAATACCTGGCTTCCCGCCAGCCTCAGTTCAAACATCAACGCACGGCGCCGTTTTATTTTCAAAGGCGGCATTTATACCACTCGAGCCCTCCAAGGATATAACCATTTCTGAGCCCGAATTGTTTCTATTGTCGAATACATGCAAAGATTTGTTAGCATTAATCCATTGATAGTCATGGGGTCATTCTATAATTTTTTTAATTCAAATGTTGGCAACAATATTGCGCTGCGATTCCTCTTGGTTGCTGTTCCTATTGTTGCGTAACACTTGCAATTGATGAACTCATTGGTTTCGAGTGTAACGTTGACTAGTGAAATTTTGTGCTCATGTTTGTTTTCTCTACTTCCACCGTGATGAATAATATTGTCAGGTATGTGTAAATGGTTTAATTTAAATGTCTGTATTGTACACTTAAGTAAATAAGTTTTATGTTTAATCATTTTTAATGACAAACGACGACTTTTAATGAAATGTAAAATATCACGTCTACGTAGTAGACCGTATATGACTCCGTGAGTAAATATCATACTAATAATCTCTTTATCTAGATATAACTTTGTGTATATCATTAATTTTTACTTTCTCGCCTTACGTCCTAAGAAGAGAAAATCAATCATGCGTCGAAAAACACCAATTTTCAGATGGAAAAACTTTTTGTTGAACCTTGATAAAAAACGTTGGCAAACATTATACTTAAATGCAGTAAATTACTTCCTCTAACACGTTGAATAGTCAGAATCCATATTTTGTGGGTCCTTGATACCGATAATTATTGCCGGGAAAACGTATCTTCCCGTCCATACATGTCGGTGGTTTACTTTGGCGCCTATACCATTCAGATGATTTTCTCCAAAGCTGATATTCCTTCATCAATTTGCAGGGACTCAAACGAGTCTGAAACGATTATTTTGATTTTGGAGATACTTAACTTGAAGCTTCAAAATTTTCTTATAAAAGGGCTCCAATTTTTTTATTAAACTTGGTTCTCAGATTGGGTGCACATTTAAAAGAATTACACAGATCTCATTTTCGTTGCCGTGCTTGATTTTTCAAAAATTGGGTTAGTGAAACATTTTTTTCGGCGTCATCTTACGCCAAAAGCGTGAGCAATCGTCGCCAGTGTTCGATAATATCACGGACAGCAGAGGAAACGTTGGCGGGCGAAGATGAGGAAAGCGACGCGGCCGAATTAGACGCAGGCATCGTAAATCTTTTAAATATCGAGAGTCATTCGCGAACGCGCAACAGGAAGACTAGTTCAAACGATAACTGAGCTAGCCAGAGGAGTCGGCTGAGAAGAAAATGGCTTCTTCGGGTTGTTGTTCCGAGCCAGACAGTAAACGGGCCGCCTGCTACGAAATGATTGTAATGCCTGAGATCTATCGTAGTACGGCGCCAAAGGTTTGTCACGAAACGGCGAATGCACATCGGGGGGTTACGAAGAGTAAGGACTCCATGACCAAGAATTTTTACTGGCCAAATCGCTTTAAAGACATGGAGACTGAGCGCACCTGCGACAACTGCCATTGGTATGTCGCGCAGGTGACAAAAAGAAACAGTCGCTGAAACTCGTCTCAGTTGTCTCAGAAGATTAACATTGATGCATGCGCGCCCTTTCCAGAATCAGAAGTCGGGAACAAGTATATCCTCACCGCAATGTGTCTTCCGTCCATATTTCCGGAAGCTAAATCCATAAAAGATTTGTCGACAGCAACAGCCATCAAAGCATTATTAGAACTATTTAGTAGGATTGGGTTTCCGCAGGAACTGCAAATCGATCAAGGGTCATACTTCACGAGCGCGTTGCGTGCGATCTGACATCCGATTAATACGCAGTTCACCGTATCATTCGCAGAGCAACGCGATCGTGTGGTACACTGACCGTACAGTGAATAGGCTGATGAAGGTGCTTTGCGTAGAGGCCGAGACAGGGTGGGAGAAACAGCTCCCAGCTATTATGTTCACGCTGCGAACGACCGTACATGAAAACCTGGGATTCTCACCGGCCGAATTAGTCTACGGCAGAAACCTGCGTACGACCACATCACGCTCATCTGTGAGAACTTGGCTGGTGGAGAAGAGCAGACGAGTCCGGTAGTCGACCACGTCTTTACACCGACGACGTCGCACTCCTTTACTTGCACAAATTTAACAATGATATTTAATGTATTATATGCCATTTGAACTCTGTAATTCAAACAACCTGTAACCCCTGTATCACTGGTTCTGGATTTAATGACCTTGTCTTGATGAACTATTTTATCGAGTTTTCTTTGAGCTCATGCTTTTATTGTTCATAGTTTTGCTTCTGAACATAATTGTAACTTCCCTATATGTACATCTTTTCTTCAGTTTAATGGGAAATATAATATTTGAAATTATAATATATCATGTCTTCGCGGCAATATGTTGATTCTTTCACAAATGGGAAAATGATAAATAATAATCAAATTCCATAGCTGACTTAACTTTGCAAAAATTTGGCAAAGAATTTTAGTATTGGATTTGAGGAACCCCTCGAATGGGCGGATGTTCGGTTCCGTCATTCACGGTTATACCACCCCCGTGCACCAGTCGAGACATACGATGTGTCATCCGAAGCATTTCGGTCTCCTGCTGGATCTGATAATTTGTATCCGGATCCGGCCATAAGATTCAAAGAAGTTTCTAGAAACTTTTTTTTTAGTAATTTCACTCTGGGAACTTGGCATGTATGGAATTACATCGGTGCAACCTTAATAGATATATGTAGGTAATGTTGATTAAACTCCGTACCTAAAGGCATTTTGAAGAGGAACATGTAGACGAGGAGGAAGATTTTTTGGAAGCCAAAGAATACAAAAATAGAGTTCCCTTTCACGGAAAACGAATTGAATAAGTTGGCCGGATCAGACGTGAGTGCACGTCTTCCAGAAAAGTATAGCGGTGTCATCGACCCGGTCGCAGCGTCTGGGCTTCGGGGATCAGCATTATATCTTCAAAGAATATGGAGAAGACGATACTTCTTATATAAGAAATCAGGATAAGCCATGTTAACCAGAGGTGCAACAGATAAATGCGTGTTTGCCGACAACTTCAAATGGATTTCAAAAATATGTACTACGACAAATTGAAAGAAGAACATTTCCAAATAACTCTTAAAGACAATTTTATGAAACAATTCCAAAGTTTAGAAAATTTAAAAGTAGAAATCGTTCTAAATATCACAAAATAATTGTAAAGTTTAAATGGATCGTTCTGAACGCTGACAAAACATTTAAATAAAGAGGACTATGCCCCGAAGAATGGACAAAAAAGAAAAGCCTAGCAACCTAAGAAAGTTTAAAGTGCAGGCAGCCCTACATTCAGCTGGTATTTTGTTTTACACGGGAGTGAATATTTTCTTATTAATTCTTGCCAGAAACTCATTTTCATCTGTATTCAAAATTTAACTCAATGGGGCTGGAGTAGTGATGCCACAATTTAAAAAAAACATCCACGAAATATAATTGTATCCTTACTAACATCGAAAATAGTTTTCAACTGTTTTCGGCGTTAAAAATAAACAGAGAGGGCACATCTACTTCACCCACTAATATCACATAGGTCGTTTGATCGTCCCAGGTGAAGCTGCGCATTGCGTAAAAGCAAGATGACGATAATACGTTCACGATGGAATGCACCGTATTGTGGTAAATGTTTCATCTGCTTCGTCATGAATGGTAACTATTGTTTGTAAGGTTTTGTTGACTTCATATAACCATATAACCAAATGTTTCATATGTGGACTCCTTTATATTCATCTTACTCACCTTTGGTAGCCCCATCGCCAATGGGGTCGTTGCTTTTTTCTGTTATTGAATTAAAAATAGTGTAATATAGTATGTACTGTCCTCAAATATTGTAAAGGATGACAAAGAAAAAGAATGAACACGATAAAGCATGTAACTTCACTATCTGACATTTTGTAGAGTTCACTGGGAATTATACATATGATAATTTTCCTTGTTCCGTGGCAGTAAGTCGATTGCATCGCATACGGCTAAATGAGGGATAATAATCGAATCATGGCCTTTGCAAAGCAGTTCATTTACTGCTAAGAAAACACTAAAATTGATTATTTCAATAAGTATAATCCTCACTGAACTCTAAAAAAAGTGTAAAGAAAAAAGCACTTGCTATTTTATTTGCCTATATAAAACGTTCGGCTGTGAGAGAGTTTTATTACACGAGAGCGAAAGTTTTCTTCTTATTTCTTGTCCCAAAACACTCGTTTCCATTGTTGTTCGTAACTAAACTTGTACATTAGTACGATTGGGGGTCCCAGAATTTAGAAAATTTTGAACAGAATACACTTCTTGACAAAATACTGAGCACAGTTTTCAACTGGTTTAGGCGATAAATAAAAAAAATGGGAAGTGCGTGCGAGTGTTAAAAAGGTGAGCCCATACCTGAACGAATTTGTTGACAGTGTCCTGGTTGTTGGCAGCATCGTACAGGGTTGTGTTCCCCAAGTAGAACTGCCTCATCTTGCTCACAGCAACAGGCGTTTGCAAGCCTGGAGGCATCAGCCTCATGAAGTGAGCGTTGAAGTTCTCCTCGATGTCCGCCCACCGAGAGGCGTTGCTTGTCGTTCCGGAGACTGCACAGTAAGCGATTCCTTATTTAGGAAGAGCAACGGCCAGAAGACGTACACTCTGGTTGGACTATTTAAAAACACGGTTCAGCTGAAGAATTGTTTAGACTTGCAAAATAAAGATGGTGTGTTGGCATGGTGACACCCAACCGGGAGACGCCACATAAAGAAGAACAAGAAGAGGAAGAAGAACAAGAAGGAGGAGGTTCCATTTGATGGAGGAAATGGACCACGGCGTGAATTGAGACGCATGGAGTGGTCCACGATTACAGTCAGTATATATTTTCCGGGCGTTTCAACAGCTTAGTCCCCGAGAGTGTAGTACGTAACTATATCGGGAGGGCGTCACCCGCTGGAGCGTAAGATCCTTTGCCTATCTGCTGGCGCGGTTTCCACTTTCAAATCTCTCGCAGCGAGTCACCGCTCCAGCTGTGTCACGTTCTAAACTCTCGACTGGTGACCCGATGTATTGGTAGTGTAGTGGATGTGGTGTAAGAAAGAGGAGAGGATACGAATGGGCAAGGAATGATCGTATAAGGTTCGTGGCCCATTCGGTGCCGATACATCATTTGTGAGCTGTTGGAGAAATCACAGAACGTTGGTCACAGAAAGTCACTGCAGTTGGTCACAGAAGTCGGCCACTAGAATTCTCCAGACCGCGGTTGTATTTCATCTAGCTATCTAGCTAGTGAAAATAGAGAATGTACATATGTCTGTGGGATATTCACACAAACACTACTCGCCTGAATTTTTTTAAATTTTCACCCTTTCTTTTTCATAGTATCGGGAGTGTTTAATAAGTGGTTTAAATTAAATCAAATATGTGGGCGCTTTATTTTCGCAAAGTTAAAACTACTAGGTGGGCTCTACGCAATTCCCAGAGAGGTGTTGCTTGGAAGTTGAATCTACAGATATCGTTTGAACTACACGCCCCGCTTCCAGCCATAATATCAAATAACCTTGAAGTTGCGGTCTAGAAAGCAGGAAGTCTGAACCAAATTCTGACGGCGCTCAACATTATTCGAATATGTTTAAAGTGAGTTAATGTGTAGTTAATCTGCATTGAATAAATTGACTTGGGACTTCAACAATTATACTTAGAACACTGTCATAACGAAACATTGCCAGGGCCACTAGTTAATATACTACTTGTTAATACTACTAGATTATAACTGTGAATGATTGCTTCGACTCCCAACCATACTAATTATTGGAACTTATCTTAACATTGATTTTCAAAAATGGCCATGTCGTAACCGTAGTACTGAAAGTGCCCACCAGATATGTGAAGCAACTATTCCTCCACTGCTAAGAAGGGCAGCGGCTCGGAGCAAAGGACAGAGCGTCATTTGATGCAGAGCAAACTGGAAGGCGAGCTCTCCCCCTGATGTGGACGTAACTCTGGGCGCAAAATAAGAGCAGTACGGAATATCTTGTTCCGTGATTGCAATGTAAAGTTGTGAATTGCGTTTGATAGTTTGTGTCGTATATTTCATTTCTGTCCTGGACGCCTGGACATAATGTTTTTGACTTGAATCTGGGAGTGATTGATAAATCCACAATTGACCTTTTTGTAGATGTATTAGGATGGAACACTTCGCATAAACTTGTAAATATCCTAGCTTCGACTACAGTTATTTTACTAATCTCCAATCGTGTTCCAACATCTTTTCTTGAACCTTCATCATGTCAACATAACGTGACTCTCCCTTGACGAGTCATTTGTTAATTACTTTTGCAAGATATTGTTTTAGAAGTTTGGATGCTATTCTTAAATTTTGTATCTTCAAAGCGGAATAATAACAACGACCAATTTTAAGGCCTCAATGAAGTTGGTATTGACTATAAGCGAGGTTATCCTCATTCAGGTTCACGATAGGCGAGAAATTGAAGACGCAAAATGTTGATTTTTTTATGTATCAAATAATAGTAAAAATGGTAAACAAATATTTTTTATTTAATAGGTAATTATTACAAACGAATTAGATTTACTTGATCATAAAAGTGGCTAGGCGAAGGCCTTAAGCCATTACAATAGCTCTATCATCTTTTCGCGTTCCTTAATCTTCGAATTTTGGTATCACCCTAAATGGTCTCTCCATCCGCATCAAAGCGCGCGGAAAAGAGACACAAGGAACGGCTCAGGAATAAACCCCTGAGGGGGAAAACCTGCCCGTCAGAAGCCGAGTACAATTCTAATCACCGACGTTTATTTTGCTATTTATTTTCTGCGCGGCGTCCTACCAGTGCTTCGGCCTCCTCAGCACCTGAAATCAAACGCCGCCACAGAAGATCGCTCCCGCACCAACGCCTCTGCCTTACATTTTTCGATCCCCCTTCCCTCCCCTAATGTGCTTATTAACTAATGCCAGTTTTTAATTTTATTTATTGTATTGCCAAGTTATTTACCAATTGACTAGACTTATGACTTAATTCTGTTTACTGACTGTCTAATTAACATAAAATTACGTACTTATTGTTAGCTTATTGACTTATTTATTTCTCTCGCAGTCTAGGCTTCGCTCTAAGCTCCACAGTGCTGTTTTCCCACTACCCTATTTCAGTTTTCCCTAATGGTCCGGACCTTTCTAAAAAATGTTCCTAATCTTTTTCATAATTTAGAATCTTTGTCACATAACATGTTTTGGTGCGAGCGTTACGTTCCTGTTTAGGAAGTAGTAATTTTCCCATCCCATCCATTTTTTCTCCATGTTCTCGGTTGCACAGCAAATTAAGGAGGATGTGGATCCAGTCCTTCGCCGCTATCACCGCAAGCACACAGATGCCGATTACCACTTGCGTCCTTTAGTCTACGCTGCATCCACCGCGCCAACCTGAACCAAGCGTATCCCCCTCCTTGCGTCCTTTCCGAAGCAGTATGTATTAAACTTTCGCAACCCCATAAATGGACTCGCATGGATTTGGAGCTACCAGCGAACGTTTTTCAGCCGTTGCCTGCCAGATCTCTCTCTTGCTCTTTATATCCGCAAGTCTATCAGAAATCAGCCTTTCCTATCTCACGGGTTCCCTATCTCCACCATTTCCGCAGAGAGACGCTCTCCCCACCCTGCGAGTCAAGTAGCCGTTCATCTTTGTTGCGCCCAGTAGCGATGGTCGCTTCCCTGCCATTGCGCTCTAAAGCACCTATGTATAAGTGTGTCAGCCTGTGTAAACAAATATGTTACGAATATTAATGAAATATAAAACCTTGAAATATTCAGCACTTTATTTGGTGAGGCTTAATGACGATATTTTACGTATTTTGTCTGTATAGGTTAAGAGTTTTGGATTGAATTGATTTTTCATCAGCTTTTCTGTCGATAAAATATTCATAAACTTTCATCGTCCACCTAGTTTCCATCGCTTTACGGCGTAAATCCTCAGGTAATGGATATTTCTGTTAGGTTGCATTTCCAGTTACGAGTTCAATGCAATAGATAAATGTGAGTAGAGTAGGCATGGTCCTGTGTTAAGAGCAGAAAGCCACTGACGAAAATGATACTGAATGTGGTTTTAATTTTTGTAATGTATAAAAATATTGTACGAATTGTAGTATATACGGAATTAAACATCTCCAATTATTGCTCAGAGGAGGGTTAATATTGGGGTAAACAGTTCACTAAGAGAATAACAATGTAACGTCATAGTTTCTTTGGAAACAGCAGCGGGTAATGCATGTAATTCTCTATGCAATTCTTTAGAATGTTCTCTATATTAAAGTAGATATTCTGATCTTAACCGAGTAGAGTGGAGGTTATCTAAGAATATTTATATTCACTGGACAACACAGGAGCCTTCACAAAAAATGTCGAATTCCTTTCTCTAAAAACAAGTCTCGGTTACGCTTCGCTTCTGATAGGAACGTTATTTTCATTACATCATCTCTACGTTAATGAATGAGACATTAGTTAATTAAGCTTTGTTCTCTCTGAGAAAGGGAAAACAAGCCAAACGATAACAATATATTGTCATGAGTGAATTGGAGAAATTGAAGAATAGTTATTGTGGATCAATAATGTTTTCGAATCCAATGTCTCGTTTACGTATTCAGCACTTTTTACTTTCTTGCCTGCTGGATATTTACGAAGTACAGAAATTAATTCTCTATTGAAAAGTGACAATTTTGTGTTAATTGTGAGTTCCTGATACCGAAATACTGGATAACTTTTGCCCATGTTTGTAGTACCTTCCTCTAATGCTTCGTGTAATCAGAATCTACGTCTGGTGGATACTTGATACCTCAAAATTCGATTACGTCCAAACGTCTTTTCGTGTCTCCGTGAAGAACTCTAGAGGTTAAAGCAAAGGCAGAATTTTGGTCAAAATTAATATCTTATCGATCGGGCTGAGCCACGATTTGAAACAGCCAAATTTGGGGATTACTTAACACGAACCACAACATTTTCAAAATTTTCTTAAAAGTGGTTCCAAATTTTTCTTTAGTTTTATTCCCGGATAGAGTAAAGGACATTTGTAAAAAATGGCGAAGATACAATTTTTGTTGAACACTCTGAACTTTCGATAATTTCTCACGATAAAAATGTCTGAGACTTGTGACACTATGCTATCATATATATGCTTATAATTTATATACAAAATTCTAAATGTGGGCCTTGACTTTTTTCAGTAGCTACGGCAAAGAAAATTTTACCGGGAAAACTAAGATATTTTCGAGACTGCTTTGTGAATTGTGAGTAGATCGCTGTAGTGATTCTAACTCGTCTCGTTTTTAATTTCGGATAATAATACCTTTTTTTGAACTGGATACAATTTGAGCTTAACAATTCACAGCCCACGAGCTCTCAATCAACTTACCTATTGGGCAAGAGACTTAGAATTTATTATTTCAAAAAATAAATATGATTTATTACTTTGTCAAGAAATCAGAAAATTCTTTTATTAGCGGACCATTCAATGATTGGTAGTCATCAATTGAAGAGAACCAATGTCTGCAAAATTCTCTGAATATATTTTAATGAAATAGATTCATAGAAAAAAATCACATTAATACTTTAAAAGCTGTTATGGTCGGCTAAATATAATAAAAACTGTATCATCTTTCAAATGAAATACATTTACTAATAAGATACATTTTTACCAACATTTATAAAACTATTATCAGACAAAAGTTGATTACGGTTCAGTAGTTTGTATTTCAGCAAAACCTACTGTTTTACAAAAATTAGACCCAATCTTCAATTCAGCATGCCGTTTAAGCTTGGGGGCATTTGGATCCAGTTCTGTTACTAGTTTTCTTGAAGAAACTGGTTTACTTCTTCTAGAGTTATGAAGGAAGTTCATTTGCTTGAAATGTTCATATTCAACATTTATTTCTCTTACTAATCTTACTAACAAATATATCTTTGAATCCTTATTTCAGCAGGGTTATAATAAATTTCCTTCTCTTCGAAAATCAATATGTATAAGAGTTTCCAATTTATTTGTACATCCTATTTACTAGTTGAATATTCTTTAACGTCTGATCTCAATAAAAACTTCAAATGTGAACAGATATCAACTCTATATTAAATTCGGTGTCACAAAGTTACTATATTTCTACGTGTTACAAAATGAGATAAGTATATTTATTTCTTTTATTGTTAAAAAATTCAATCCTTGTAATATTAAATGTATTTGATATTGAATGTTTGAAATTGTTAAAAGACAATGATATGAAAGGTAATTACAAATGTAAATTTTCTTTATAATATAAAATTGTAAAACATATTTTATGACCATGTAGTTGCATGGCGATCTTAAATAAAATAAAATAAATTAAAAATGCTAAATGGCTTTGGGAGTTCAAAGCGGAGCATATGCAAAAGTTTTGCGCATTGGAAATTCTTTATCGGGTATAATTAGTATTATAAAGTTCGGTAACCGATATAAATACTGCGAGAAAGTACATGCAGCTGCACCATTTCTAGTTCTAAAATTTTGAATAGGCTTAATTGCTCAAATGTTGTTTATAAAGCGGATTATTTATTAGATGTTAATTTAGATGAAATGAATGTGAGTGTCATTTCTGTGAAAGTTTTTGGTAATATTCGTTATTCCAAAACTTACGCCAGAGATAGGCGATGCCTTCTGCAGAGGTGAACCCCATGATGTAGGGTAGGTGTTGAAAATTCCGTGACCTCATTAATTGTTCTGGTGGTGTAGTCACCAAAGGCCTCGGACTGGAAGCTGGTGACTCCAACGATGGAAGGAAGGGGATCTTCCAGAATTGGTCCTCCCACTACACGAACACATTGGTTATAAATTTCAAAAAACATACCATATAGCATCAACTTTTACTTTCTCATGTCTGTTTCAAAGAGAAAGTTACTTAGTGCTTGTGGGGGTCAGTTTTTCGACAGGAAATTAGGTTTTGTATCTCCCTTATAACAAAAGTGCCCAAGAATGGATTTGTCTTGCTTTTGTATGTTTGAAATGACTTTCTCAAATACCAATGCGTAGAATAATCAGAATTCACAATTTGTAGTTTATTCGAAGAAGTGTATTTTCTGAAAATGAGTTTCACGAGTTAATCAAAATACAGAATGTTTACGAATATTCATATTTGCCTATGATATAGCCGAAAACGCTATCTTTAAAACGTGTTTTTGAATAATTTGGAATTGTCACGATGCTATTAGAACATTTTCAATAGTTGCATAAATTTGCGCAGGCCCTTTATTAGACCTTTCAATCATTTTAAAACTTTTATTGTTACGTTCTCGCTCTTAGGAAGGTACTTCGTAAGAGGAGAAAGTTATGATCTCATGCGCAGAAAAACAATGTATTATCGGTAGAATACCCCAAATTGCCGGGCCCTGGTAATGAACTGTATAAACTCTGTTATACATATAGAGTACGTAAATAGTAAATAATTAGACGATAGACTAATGAAAAGTGTGGAAAGTCTTGTAAGTAGTAAAACCCCAGCGCGTAAACCGAAATAAAAGGAGCTAAGAGGAAAGAGCATGAGGGAGAAAATTTTATCATAACTGTTTGCTATAAGCTTAGAAGAGAGATTACGAACATACACCATCTTACCATCACAATACAGATACGCACGCAACCTGTGATCTCAAAGGGGTACTAAAACAGAACATTATTAAAGTGCATCGAACGCTGTCTATGAGTGAAAGAGAATTTTAACCCAACTACGCAACTTCTGTCACTACCAGAAAATTACCTGTATAACTGAAAAGGATAGACAGTGCTAGAAATTGCATCATGTCTCTAAATAAAATTCAATCACAAATTACATTGATATGTAGAAATGCAAAGAGGTCCTTAAAAATAAGATAAATGAAACTTCAGAAAGCAAAGAAGAAAATAACATTCAAGTTCGTATAAAAACCTAAAAAAATGTGTAAAAACATCAATACAAGAATCAAACAGATCAAAGTCCGATTTTAACAATCAGAAACTAAGTAAAAACACATTAGACTTACATCAAAAACGACAAGAAATACAAATAAGAAGTGTAATTAAGCAAACTTAGCAAATGCAATATAAATAAATTAACATACTAACAAACCGCGTAATAAGAACAGATTTTAAAAACAATATGAAGAAAAGAAAATACTAGACATAATGAGTTCTTCAAAATCCCTACCTAGAATCAAAGAAGAATCCAATAAAGGAAGAAAATAGATCAAAGGCCTTAAGGCAAGGAATGAAAAAAACAATTACAGCACGAAACGATAAAACAGAAGTTGCACCAATTTTTTTTGAAAATCTCTTCAAAATAACCAAGCCCGATACATGGCTATCAATGACCACATTCTTAACACTCGAATCTAATGTTCAAATAACTGACATTCTGGAAAGTGAAGTATGAAAAGCAATTCAAGACACGAAACAAAACAAATGCCCAAGAAAGAATTATATATTGAACGAATTTCTCAACCTAGGAGAAAAATCATTAATAAAACCCATGAGAGACCTATTTAATAAAATCATAATTAAAGAGGAAATACCATATGAATGGCAACATAATACAATCATATTACTTCACAAGAAAGGATCAGAAGAAGCCATAAACAATTATAGACCTATTACCTTGATGTCAAACTTATATAATTGTCACAAAAATAATACTAGGAAGAGGTAAAAGAGCAATATAATTTAACCAATCAGTGGAACAAGTAGAATTTCGTCCAGTTTATTCAACCACTGGCGTGGGTTCAGCCGAGGCAAAAGGGCTGGATTCCACAGCGTCCCCGAGTCCCTCAAATACGCTTGCAGGTAGAGAAGGCCTACGCCACGTTTCCTGACGTCTTTCGAGGCAGCGTTATACTGAATACAATTTTATAAAATACTCGTCGCCACCTGACGTGTGCGACCGTCCCATCGTAGTTACCACAGTATCATAGTTGTGAAACAGAATGAAGGTAAAGTCCTTTGAAGCGAACATTGACTTACATATTGAATAACACATAATTACCCATTATAATAAAAACACTAAATTACAGTCGTTAAATACATAGGAAGGGCGCCCATACAATATTTGAATCTACGTTGGTATTCTATTTCAATATACATGTTTAGTTATGAATGAATAATATTTCAATTATTAGTATAATTAGGCAGGAAGAAGATGTTTTTTCTAAGATACTTATTTTATTCAAGTATCTGAATTTACTGTTTGCATCTGATTTCAGACCGTGGAAATTTCGAAAAATAAGTGCACATTTGTCATATTAGGAATTTGACAGGAGCTGTTTTTGTTCTGGTTGCGGGCGTGTACACCTACTCCTTTTATTCCTTCGAAGATTTTAAAAATGAAATTATATTTGAAAAGCATAAAGAGGTACTGAATTATTATTTCTTCAATAGTATTTTCTTTTTTTTTTACTCGAATTATAATCTAGTTTCCACGCGTTCGCATATCCTCTACTTTTGCCTGCAGATACAACATATGATGTACGCGGTTATCAGCAGGTTGCAAATCTTGCTTCCGCCGCTACTAAGTGAGCATACACATTAAACAGTAAGTCTGAACCCATGTTTTGTGGATTCTTGACAACGAAAAATTGAGTGCCAAAAACCATTCAGCAGATTTTCTCCAAACATTTATTACGCGTTCGATCTGAAGTAATTCAAGGCCCTGCTTGTTGAAAAGTCGTATTTTGGTATTGGGGCTTCACTTTTTATTGAACTTTGTCAACGCGTATGGCGAAGAATGCTTGAAACAATGGTATAATCTCATTTTCGTTGACATTCAAATTTTTTGATAATTGAAAAAGTGCAAGATTTTTTTGGCTGCATCCTACAGTTTTAGTATTAAAGATGGAGATATTTTATTTAGTGAAAGTTTTTAAACAAATATTTCCTCAAAAGGTTCCAACATATTTTTCTGAGATAGAGCCCCAACTACTTAAAAAAATGTGTGTCGCATTTTCGGCGAACTCTCTGTACTTACGAAAATTGCAAAGAATTAACGTTACAAAATTACAATACTGTATATTTAAAAAAAAACTGTTCTCAAAAATATATCCTAATATGAGACAATGAACAAGTTTTTAAAAACAAGTAATTTTACGTAATTTCTGCTAGTTCGTAGAATTTATATTTTTACCTCAAAATGGTTCCAGGTTTTCTTTAAATATTTGCCCAAGGATAGAGCAAAGGAGCTTGAAAAATTAAGGTAGGTTTCATTTTCGTCAATCCTTGACTTGATAATTTTGAGAGCTATATTTAATGAGGAAAGAGTGCTGTTTTAACTCCACCAGTTTATCTTGGGAATTATTCTATAGAATATGGGCGTAGAACGGGGCTCGTGGAATCGAGGCGCCACGACACCGATCGGTCTGCAAAGGTCTGTGGTTCGGGTTCGTTTTAGAATGTCTGAGTGTGGCTAGCCCTTCAGTAATTAAACAAAAAATTTTGAACATATCTTTCGAGTAGCGAAAAGCGCGTCGTGTTTAAAGTGTTCAATTAGTAATTGCATAGGAATCCGTCGTTACATGTGAAGCAAAAGGCAGAGTTTAATGGAATATCCGTATTCATCGTACTGAAACTCCAGAAAGAGCTTTCAAACAAGGAATAACTACAAACGGTAGGGAAGAAAAGAAAGGGGATAGGAACGTGTGTTCGGAACATACGATGACTTTGTCATCGTATTGACTGAGTCAGTGCTGTTCGATCAAAAGTGCATTTCTTGAACTAAAAGAACAAATGTGCAAAAACGAACCGCCAACGCTAACAAAATTGTTGCAGCTTGCGAATCAAGAGCTTCAATTTTCAGCCATCTAATTTATACAAATAATTGATATCCTGTTAGACAACCACTTCCTGAAACAGACTGATAGTAAGTAAAGAAATTGTGTGAACTCTCAATGCTGTCAATGTATGTGCTGAACTGTCTGAGCTGTCAATGCATTTGCACGACAGCTCTTATTCCATTTGAATTGGCGGAGTATGCTATTCGCGTAATCGAAAGTGGTTTCTTAGGATGAAAGGATAATAGAGTTCTTTTGAAGAAGACAAGATGTATTTGCGATTCTAGATTGACACACTCTATGTACAAGGTTTTAATGCTTTATAAACATTTCATACTTAACCTACGTATTCTGATGTATGTTGAAAATCAATTTTTAATCCAGTCTTTCAATTTGAGTGTCATTTTGCGAGATGAAAATTAGGTTTTTTATGAGCAAGTTTTCATGGATTTCTTTCCTTATGTTTCTTTTAACTATCGAACGAACATTTTCGATGGGATTCATGTCAAGAATATTTGCAGCCCAATTGAACCCAGACTGATCATTTTCTTGTAGATGTTTTCCAAATGTCTTTTCTATTGTGATAGGGAGCGTACTCACTTTTCTTTTCAACAATTCATTTTTGTGAGGAAACCATCGGTTCTCTAGGTACTGTAAGTATTGGTCGTGCCTTATTATATCATTAACTGTATGTACATTTTCAATAATGTTAACAGACATTACCCTTCAGTTATATTTTGTAAGAAGCTTCTCAGGATTCATTATAATCAGTGACGTACAAAATTAAGTCTCGTTTAGAGCTCCGTGGTGTATTAACGCGTTATATTACGTTTCGTATTGTTTCCACGTGCATACATAAATGCTAGTATAAACAATTAAACTCCTATCTATTTGGCGGCATGTCTTCCGGGCTTTGACGAAAGACTCGCGGAGAAGCAGGCAGAACTGATTGATTGTCACTTACCAATGTCATTCTGTTATCCAGTGAACACCGGGAGAGAGGGATCAACGGCGGTGTTACGAAATGAAAGTATAGAAATTGGCAAGAGTCAACTCGTAAGGGAACGAGCAATTGAATAATGTAATGGGTTGCTATGAAAGCAAGTATGGTTTGGGAGAGGCTAGATAGAGTTTGTAAGAAATGGTCGCTTAAAATGAGGACTGATATTTGAAGTGATATTCCTGTTTAAATACCTAATGAGTAATGTCTTCAAAAGTTTAGAAGATTGGAGAAGGTATTTGATATAATTAATAGGTGGTTGAAGAATACAGAACAAGATATCTGTGAATGCGGAACATGTTAAAGCTTGAACGTTGATTAGTGAACCATGGTTTACGAACAATATATTTTCTTAATTTTGGAACTTTGTTTTCTAGTTTCCTGTTACTTCAAGAGTGAAGAAAACCGACAGCGACGTTGAGTAAGTGGTCAAAATTGGCTGCTGAAACTATTGAAAAAAACCACGATTGCCGGCGCTTTCAGGAGCATACAGTGTTTCGGGACGAAAGATACATAATAGACGGACCCAAGTATAAATTGCAAAGTCATTGAAGAAAAATGTGTGTAGGAAATAATGATACACGTGTTTAGCAATGACTATTATCACCTTGTTCAGTAAGACGGTGTTTAAATACGTTTAGTTATTATATGTATGTCAAAGGTATAGAAATTGCGAAAATGTCTGCTGTTGATACTTTGATACGTTGATGACTTTCTTCGTGTGATACTTTCCGCAAGAAAACATATTACAATGCTTTTATTTTTTAAGAATTATTCGAACAATCACAAATTCGGTCAGTTTGTCTACGTAGTCATATGCAATGTGAATACGGGCAGACACTTCTATAAGAGGATAGCAGAGTTTCCACTTAGCGATTGCACATGCCAATGTTCGAATTGTTTTGTAAATACCTATGATGAAAATTGATTGTAATGAAATGAAGTTTTAACTTTTGTTTTAGCCTGAATTTGGTCAAAAATTGAGATCGAAACGTTACATCAATTTTATATACATATGATTGTATTCAGAACTTTTGAATCAGAATTGAAACCCAGAAGAAATAAAGATTTTTAAAACAATTAAAAAAAGCATGTCTAGAATGTGAATATTAATAGATTTTTTGATTGTGAATGTTTTTATATTAAAAAATTGAAGGCCAAAAATTAAGTGTCAAACAATGCACTTTAAAATTCAGTGATGTAGTCATCTAGTATATATTGATCGTGATTTGACTTTTTTAATCTGTACGGTTAGTAATATGACTATCAAAACTGATAAAAGTAAACTATAACAATAAGTAACAATGAGCAAAGGTGGCTCTGGACGAGCCGACTTTGCAGTCGAGACGCACAGTTCGATCCCCGGGACGGCCATCTTGACCGGGATTTTCGTGGTTTCTTTCGGTCATACAAGTGAATGCTGGGACGGTTAAAAATGCTATGATTACCTCTCATTCTCATCCTATCATCTCATATAATTCAAATGCAAGGCTTAACACCCTTGCCTGACCATAAATACAGCCGTAAACCTGATCTCCATGATGACACAAGTTAATCTCTCTCTGGTATGGAATATGACTAGGCCTCGGACGAGAACGTGAAGGATGTTAGAAATAGCCCATACGCTGCTCTGCTAAAATAATAATAATAATAATATAATAAAATAATAATAATAATAATAATAATAAAATAATAATAAATAATAATAATAATTTTACCCCACTGAGCCTGAATCAAGCGGACTCTGAGAAGAAGACCATGTATCACGAAAGAAGATAGGCTGAGTGCGTGGACCCAGAAGCGGTTTGCACGGCAGTATCCTGCCGAGCTCAAAGTAGAACGATGAATATGGGATCGTCAGTCTCCTGGCTAACAAAATCTGGCCTCTTTGCTGAGACAGAAGGGTTCGTCATTTCTATTAAGGACGAAGTAACCTCCACTCGCAATTACCATGTATATGTAATTGGGAAATGAGTGTAGAGGACAGCTGCCGACGTTGCAATCAACCTGGCGAAACCCTCCTATACATCATGGGTGGGTGATCTGCTTTGGCACAAACAAAATACCTGGGTCGGCACAACGACGTTGCTGCGGTTGTCCATCAGATCTTGGTTGCAAAGTCTGAGATGATACAGAAAGAGGTCCCATACTTAAAGTCGGATTCAGTTTTGGAGTCGAAACGGTGGAAGCTCTTTTGGAATGTAGCAGTCACCACAGCCATCGCAGGGTCGAAATCACCAGGTCTGACATAATATGACAACAGGCCCCATCATAAGGCTTCACGGAAAGGGACTATAGTCGACACAGCTATCCCTTTAGACCGAAATATAGTTGCCTCTTTAGCCGAGAAGAAGCAAAAATATCAGGCCTTGGCTATTGAACTGAGCGACATGCGGCGATTAGTACCTGTTGAAGCATTCCCTGTGGTCATTTCTGCAAATGGGCTGATATCTGAAAAACGTATTTCATCGTCTACAAGGCTTGGCCTTAAAAACTGTGTCATTCAATCAATGCAAAAGGCTTTTCTCCTTTGTACTGCATGCATCGTGATGATTTTTTTTAATGATATAACTTTACGTTGAAACCTGACCGCCCGAGTTTACAGGCAAAGCAGGTATCTTGGTTCTACAATGGTCTCGGTGTCTGCTGTAAGCACATCGCTAAGCGAGAGACTTGAAAGAAATAATAATTTAAAAGTCACTTGCTTCAGCAGGAGGCGCGCTGTCCTCGCCGGCCACAAGCTCCCGAGCGTCGATCCGCTGTAGACACGAAACGATGTCATCGCCAGCGACGCACGATCCGTTGAAATGTTCCGCCAGTGCGAGAGCGTTCTCGCGCGGGTTCGAAACGTACGTCCACGTGGAGATCGCCACTCCACTCACGGACATGGCGCGATGAACGAGGCCTGGAAAATCCCAATTAATCGACTTAAGTCTTTCAAGAAAAGGTTGCTTAAACCAAAGACGATATTCGTATTATTGCTAGAAACTGAATTAAATAATGCAGGTGTTGTACGAGTGAATGATGAAGTTTGTTTGTTGGTGGGCACGTCAGCTGCTATGATTATTAGACCCGTTAGTGTAATGAAAGTTTCATGTTGGGAGATGGTGATATTCTCCCCACCTGGATAGTGACATCCGGCGCCGCCCTTGCGAAGAATTTCCGCGTTAAGGTATTTCTCCACAATTGGAGCCAGCTCAACGTTACCCTCATGTGTAAGTGACGTGCGTGTAAGTGTGTGTGAGAGAAAGAGGGGAGAGTGTAGGGCAAATAAGACGCAGGAGAGGCGTGCTGCGGTACGTGCCTGAGAGTGATTAGTGTACCAAGGAAAACTACCGATTAGAGAAGCCGGACGCTAGAATTCTCCTTAATCTGCGCGTGATTTCAAGCTAGGTTTGCAGCGAACGTCAAAAATACGCCATCACTAGGCCCGCTCTACAAACAACAGCAATGCTTAGCCTGGGATAAACTGATCCTGTTGTATTTAAATAAATGTAAAGCTAGTTTATATGGTTTTAGATGGCAATGGATGCGTTTTTCAGTTATCAAAAGAACAAATTCAGGTATAGGAATATCATGTAGTTTTTATATTAGAATAGTCCTTTTCGTTACACTTTTACTTGACATTTAAACAGTTTTAAAATCACGTCATGTCGCTTTTTCATATACAAGTTACTGAGTGCCTGACAAAATCTTATCTTGCACATTTCAACGTCGTGATAAAAATAGTCTTCTACTTGCTCATAAAGACTATTATTCGTTCCGAGAAATTACGGTATCTGCTTCTATGTCGCTTCTATGCCGGAAACATCGACTCGCGAATCATAACCACCATTACACGGTCGTACAAAAACATGCTATCATATAGAGCAGGCACGTCAAAACGTCCCCGCCTGAGCTACTTTGACCGCCTGGGAAGCCCGGCACTCCAACGAGCATGGGCAACTTCCCCTGATTCAGCTCTCACTTTACCTCTAAATTCAGAAAGGAGTGTATACGCACAACACGCAGTGCGAAGTGGTGAATTATGCCTTCATACGAGAACAAAATGTTTGCCTGATTTGTTCTATTGAACAATCCGAGAGTTGAAATACGCATTTTTTGTTTTTATTTTATGTTTATTTGTGTTTTAAATTCTGCATTGTACAACTATTTTTTGCCAAGGGGGAGGAATATGTTTGAATGGAAAATTCTTTCATTTTCGTTTTGTTTTGTGCATAAAAATCATTCAGTTATTTAATGTATTTAGCAGTAATGTGAAATAAATTAACACGCCTCTGTAAGTTAACAATACTCACGAACGGAAAGCGTATTCAACAGAGAGAATTTTGGTCTATTAATCCTCGTAACCAGACCGTAAACAGCCGATGCAATTATATCAATCGTGATTACAAGATCAAGATACTTTCGATTCAGAATGTTTAGTTTTACTCTCAGTTGAGAATGTGAACTCAGTGATATATTATTTTATTTTAATGGATCATTTCTTTGCTTTTAAACAGAAAACGTGAATATATATAGCTAAATTTGAGCCAATAAATGCCAAAGACTGTCATGGGTCATATATTCAGTGACGTACTACCACTCCAAAGAAATGTGTACAACCCTTACTTTTAAATCTCAAGTTCCTCTTGTCGCAGTGCCTACGAGTTCTAGTAAGCCTTCTACCTTACCTGCGACCTTGACATGCCTCATAGAGTTTACGGGATACGCATTTGAAGTTTGGGATCCAGTAGTGTCAGACGTACCAGGATCCTAAATTTTTTGTCAAAATTTGAGTGAATATACAATATACCGGTATGAAGATGTCCTGGTGGGCTTAATCACTAGGATTTTAAGTCTACGTAAATGATTATTAACGATTTAAGATTCCTATCATATTATTAATTCAATAATTTAACACTAACACCAATATTACAAATAATTGTGATTTGGTGAAAACACTGCCGTAAAACATTAAGAGTGACCTAGGATGGTATTTTCCCCCACATCCTATAGAAGAAAAGGATACGTCTTAGTCTGCTATTTATGTCAGGAAGACTCTTTACTTTCCACCATTTAGTTTATTGATATACAATGCCTCGATATGGAGTTTTATTTAACGAACTTCCTGTGCGTTCTAAAACAATAGAATTGTAATATGAACATTTTCAGAATCAAATTTAATTGGTACCAGAAATCTTAGTGGAAGTACCACGATTTTGCAGGTTGGTACTGGCAAACACATTGAATCGTCTGGCAACGTAGGATCCAGTAGGTGGCAAAGTTCACCTTAAATAATGTCATTACAAGTGCAAAATATTTTCATGGGTCCAACTAGTTTTTTATTTGCTTAACCCGAAAACCTGCAGGTTCCTTTGAATTGGAAAAAATACTGATTTTTTTTGTGATTACACATCGAGTATGGACTTTTATTTTCTCACAAATACTATTTCTCAAGACACTTTGAAGATTACATACCATCACTCTCCGGCGTCAGCAACAGATGATTCACTATCGCTCCTCCCGCCCCGTGTCCAAACAAGGTAACTTGATTGCAATCGCCACCAAAAGCCTCGATGTTCCGCCTTACCCATCGCAACGCCATGAGGGCATCTTTCATTCCTGCATTGCCAGGTGCCTGGGAGTCCTGCGTGTTTAGGAAGCCTAGAAAAAGTGACAGATATTGCTCTGTGTGATGAGAAATGAAACAGCATTAGTAATGTATCGAATTATTTCGAAAACCTTGTAACGTCATTTACATGAAATTAAATTGGCGGTTCCTTTCAAAGTGACTCTTAGAGTTAGAGCAGGAAGCGATAATAATGAGCAGTTTCTAAATAAATATGTTTTATACTTAGACACATTTCACAATAGTTTTATTCACATATTGACATTTAAAGCATCTTCTACTACCCTATTATTATTATTATTATTATTATTATTATTATTATTATTATTATTATTATTATTACTGCACTTCATTTACTTTAATTAATTGGAGTGGATAGATATCACTTTAGTTTTAAGTTTTTCTTGGCGCGCTTACATACTTACACTATCTCAGGTGATCATCGATTTTTTTTGTGGGTTGAATATCGCTGCTCATGCAAGTATCGGACGGTGAAGGTTTAAATATGTTAGAAAACGTTTAACTTATTCTTTTAAAATATTCTAATAACAAAATCAATTTGTTTTAAAATTGTGAACGACACGAACAATCGACTCAAAATTAATTTTCTTTTTCTTTCTACAGTTACAGACAAAAAATTCTCTTTATACCGTCTTTAATTTTGCGTATCGTTGGTGAACATTGGCTATCTATTTG